ATATATATATATATATATATATATATATATATATATATATATATATATATATATCAGAACGATATGTGTAGAATCTTAAAATTATAAAATATTAATGCATTATATTATTTTATAATAAATATTTATTTTGCATGTCATTATTAACAAAAATGATCAGCTTACTAAGGTTAACACTTATACTTCTAAAAACATTTTGTGTATAAATTTTATTTTTTAATATTTCTACTGGCTCAAAATTATTTTTCTCTGCTGACAGATGTATACTTTGACAACCTCAAAGGTAAAGGTAATAGGAATTTAATATATATTTATTTTCACATTTTAACATTTCTTCATGCTAATATATTTTCAAATATGTTTCAAATAAATAGCAGGTGGTATAATAAATAAAGGGTATTTGGGTTTGTTAATTTTAGTAATAAATTTAATTATCTCTTATCAGTTTTTGATGTAATCATAGTTGTTCAGTATTTAATGATTTATATGAAGCACATAAACTTCCAGTGAATATTGAAAAGTATAGAAATAAGAATATCTTTGAAGGAATGAATAACTTAGCTATATTTCTGTGTAGTCGTGAGGGAAGGGTCTGCACACCACTACTACAACACAATGACCAATGAAAGCTGGCTCTTTCTGTTCATCTCTCATCCCCTTAATCATATTTTGTTGTTGTAGTACAACACAACCAGCGCCTCACCTCGACAAGTAAATAATCACAATATTTTAATTATTAAAACTACTCTTGAATAGTATTTTTCATATTAATATATAATTTCTAGTGTCCATGTGGTTTTTGGAGAAGTAGTGTCTGGCCAGGAAATTGTTACACATATTGAGGGACTTCCAGTAGACCGTATGTCTCGGCCGTTACAAGATGCGAAGGTTGTAAATTGTGGAGAACTTGTACTGAAAATCAAAAGTAAAGGTATGTTTTACATATTATTTATTTACTTATTAAAAATTAAAAATTTATTAGAATAATATTATAGAATAAACTTAGTTTTGTTATTTTAATTGATTAATTACATTAGTTATATTAATTATTTTTACAGCAAAGAAACATGAAACAAAGGAAAGTAGTTCATCCGAATCTGATTCTGATTCATATGCTGAAAAACCTAAAAAGAAAAAAAAGGCCAAGAAAAAGTATAATAAATTTGAGATTTATAATGTATAAATTAATTTAAAAATATATTTTAAATTATTTGAAATATATTTTATTTATTTATATATATAGTAAAAAAAGAGCAAAATCGGAGGATGGTGAAATTCATGATTCTAATGAAGATGAACTTGGGAAACCTCATCCTCTTGTTTCGGTTACAAAAATCGATCCTGATGAAATTCCAGAAGTACCAGCGAATAAATTTTTATATAGAGCAGGACCTACTAATAATGCAAATCAAAAAGAATTTAGACAACATTATGGAAGAGATCGGGTACGATCACATAGAAAAACTGGTCGCATATTTAAAGGAAGAGGAATTTTTGTAAGTATTTGTGTGCAATATACAACATATGGTATGTATGAATTTTTAAATTTTTATATAATGAAACATTTTCTCTTTTTAAAATTTAACTTCTTTTTGTATATAATATCAGATATAAATAAATAAATAAATTTTCAGCGATATCATACACCATCACGTAGTCGTTCGAGAAGTGTTACACCACCTCATTGGAAACAAGCTCAAAATCGTACTATTAAATTGCATGAATTTCAGGTATATATTACAGTATTTAAGAAAATATAATACAATTAATTATATTTTTATATATTAATTTTATATTGCAGAAGTTAGAAAAAGAACGCCTAAAAAAAGAAGAAGAATTAAAAAAACGCGAAGCTGATAGAATTAAAAAGTTTACTGAAAATCCTGATGAAGATAATCAAATAGTGGATAAATTTGATGTCGAAGCGCATATATCTGAAGAATTGGAAAATAAGAAAACGATCAATCTGATGAAAAAAAAAGTGGCAGTAAAAATGTAGATCAAGAACAAGATAATTTAAATACCAGTTCAGATATTAATGACACATTGACAAAAGATAAAGTAGATGGAAAACATAAAAATGAGAAGTTATTGAAACGTGATTTACATCGATCGTATGGTAATAGATCTTCACGACGAGAATCTCGAGATAGAAGTAAAAGACGAGGATCTGGTCGGTCTAGATCGCGAGATCGACGTAGATCTCGCGATAGAGATTACGATCGTAGAAATAGTCGTGATAGAAGAAATAGAAGAAATTATTATCCTCGAAGACGAGATTTTTATAGAATTAATAGACCTGGCAGAGATAATTACAGATATTATGATAGACGCAATGATTATAGAAAGACAAATAACTCTAATTCTAATCATGATACGGATATTAATTCATCTCGTTATGATAAAAATCGAAGAAAAAGTGATAATACCTCAGACTCTAACAATCAACCAAAATTTAAACGTCGCTCACGTTCGACTAGTTCTAGTAGTCAACACTCCAAAGATTAAATGCAATTATTTTTATTTTTATTTTTCTGCATTATGAAGAAGAAATATAATTTATGCAGTAAATTACATTTATTATATTTTCAAATCTTATTAGAATTTGTTTCTTTATAACATATATGAATTTATATATAAGAAATCCTGTCTTAAATTAATAACATTTCAAATAATATTAGGTTTTAATATATTTTAAATGTAAATTTCAATTTCAGTAATTAGAATTCTCTTATATGTCGATAATTTTTGTATTTCTACAGAATGAATATAATGCGTTAAAAATTATAACTGTTTAATTGTTTAATTATATATATAATTTTGAAAAAAACTAAAATATTTAATACTAAACGTATGTTCTATCCATAGCATTACTGTAAATTAAAAATACTTTTATATAGTAAATAATTAATATATAAGTTACATTTGAAAATATTTTTAGATATAATTCTATATATTTTCAACATTTCTTTGTATTGAAAAAAAAATTGTAAATGTATTGAAAAGATTTAAATTTATAAATGGAACTAAGTTATATTTTCTGTAAAATTATTCTTAGAAATTTAATAAATTTAAATTACATGGAGAATAAAAAATTTTCATATAATTTAAAAAGATATTAACTTGTTGTATAATCATTATTCAAAATAAATAAGAGCTAATATATTTTATGTTTTTAAAATTATTTTTAATTTACTGTATATAAAATTGTATATAAAATAAAATCCTATAATCTTATATATGAAATTACTAAAATTTTTATTAGAGTTTCCAATTATATTTTTATATTGGTACTATTAATACTCTGAAGTTAGCTGTATATGATCGCTTCATGATTGGTTTTCAAAACTTGTTTACGTTAAAATTTGTGAGTTCAAAAGTAATGTGATTGACAGTGTATAATAAATACACACATATCCTTGAAATTTTTATAAATTTATTACAATGGTACGATATGGTGCGCTTAAAGGTTTATATGATTTGGAAAAGACTATCGGAAGCGGAGGTTTTGCTAAAGTTAAACTTGCCACGCATATTGCAACCGGCGAAAAAGTTGCTATCAAAATAATGGACAAAACATCACTGGGTGTAAGTAATTTTTAAAATTCAATAAATCGATAATCGCAATAAATTTCTGAATTCCTAGGATGACTTGCCAAGAGTTAAATTAGAAGTTCAAGCATTAAAAACTTTATTGCATCAACACATTTGTAGATTGTATCAAGTAATAGAAACAGAGAGTCATTATTTTATGGTAATAGAATATTGTTCAGGAGGAGAATTATTCGATCATATTGGTAATATTAATATATTACAATTCAATTTCAAATCTATATTATTTTATTATTAAAATTTAAAAAATTATAGATTTATCTTTGTTTTATAGTTGAAAAAAATAAACTTTCTGAAGCAGAATCGCGCAAATTTTTTCGTCAAATTGTTTCTGCAGTAGCATATTTACATAGTTTAGGATATGCTCATCGTGATTTAAAACCTGTAAGTTAAAATCTTTTTTAATGATTAATATTTTAATATTAATTAAAACAAATAATCTCAAGTAGCAAATAATATTATTTTATACTCAGGAGAATGTTTTATTAGATAAGGAAGAGAATTTAAAGCTTATAGATTTTGGATTATGTGCAAAACCAAAAAATGGAATAGATTCTCATTTACAAACATCTTGTGGTTCTCCAACATATGCAGCACCAGAGCTTATATTGGGCAAAAAATACTTAGGTATTCATTATATCATTAGATGTGATATTTATAATATTATATTAAAAGATATATATTATAAGATTGATATTATATGTGAATATATATATGATTGATATATATTTCATAGGTTCAGAAGTAGATATTTGGAGTATGGGAGTCCTTCTTTATGCATTACTTTGTGGCTTTCTTCCCTTTGATGATAACAGTATAGAAAATTTATATAGAAAGATCCTTGTAAGATTTTCAATTTTATTTGAATTTGCAAAGACAATGATTGATAATAATAATTTTAGAGTGGTAAATATGATGAACCAAGCTGGTTATCAAGCAGTAGTAAAAGATTAATACAAGCAATGCTACAAATAGATCCAAAAAAAAGAATTACGATTCAAGAACTATGCAATCATCCATGGATTACAGCAGGATTTCTCAATCCTGTTTCATTTGTTCATAAAACAATGTAAATTTTTTTGTATTTTTTTGTATTTTATATATACTTTTTATAAATTTTTAATATATAAAATATACAATATATAATATATCTATTTTCATAATTATTTAGTTTCAAAAAGATGATGATGTATTAAGTACAATGTCTGCAATATGTGGTGAAAATACTTCTGATATATGGAAAAAACTTATAAAAAGTGACCGAACAGATTATAAAACTGCCACATATCTTTTACTTTTAGATAGAAAGCTACGTGGACTTTCACTTCGAATATCATCTTCTGCAAAATCACATTTTAAATCTGAGGTAACAATTTTATTTAATCTGAAATTAAATGTTAAATATATTTTAGGAAATTTAAATTAAAAAAAATTAAATTTGCTTATTATTTTATTACTTATAGTATGAAGGAAATGATAATAGTATTATAACTAAACTTGATTATTCTCCAAGAAGTAAATCTGTTAGATCTCCAGTAATAGACACTACTTTCAAGATTTTACCAAGAACACCTGAAACTAGTAGGTTTCATTTTAATTTTTATATTTTTATATTTTAGATCAATATTAATTATATTTAAATCAATACAAATTATAAATATAATTATTATTTTATATACAGTTAATAATTTCATGGAACCATATTTGCCTGGTAGAAAACGACTTCGAAGTAAAGAAGAAGATGATGCATGTTCTCCTGGTATGTTTTAAAAAATTAAATTTATTTTTCCATTAGTTTTATATTTTATTTTCATGTATATTTTACTTTATTTTATTATCCTTTTTTATCTTAATCTTTGAGTTATATTTTATTATAAAAAATTATATAAATATTTAATAACGCTCAGCTTTTTAATGAACTTCGAATTTGTGTTTTATAAGTTGTTTTTTATATAATTTTTATGTTGTTTATATATATACATATAACTTGAATACTGGAAAATGTTAAGATTTATCAATAATTCGCGGTAAAAGTCAAAATTATATTGATGAACGCAACAATTTGTATTTCTTTTACAGATTCGTATTGATATAAATAAGATTTACCTTTAATATCTGATAAAAATTGTCTTTAATAATAAAATAATAATATTGTTTCTACCTATGAAATGTTTGGAATATTCCTCAGATTTTGAAAAACAAATCTTGGATGATCGAAATTACAATGATCGATACTAATACTGATACTATTATCGTAACTGTATTCGTTATAATCTCGATTGCTAAGAATTGTTTCATTTTCACATTTTATTTCCGTCTAAATTTTCTATGGATAAATAGTTACATAACTTTATTTGAAATCGCAACTTAATAATAAATATCAATTAATTTCGATAAAATATTGATTTCATAATATTTGCATTGATATTATTTATATTGATTTAGATATTGACTGATAAATCCTAAGCCATTATACATAATACATTTTCTGATATTTGGACTTTTAGTAATATATATGTACATACATATACAGTGTATATACATATATAATATATATATTTTGTAATATATTTTCTAAAGTTTACTTCTAATTAGGTGATGCTAGCCATCTAATTAGAAACTTTAATGAAAGTTTCGAAGTGCCATAAATTGCTGTAGTTGTGTGAAAAGCAGATAATTAGAGAAGAGCAACGACTTGTGAACAAACACAATTTGGAGTTACAAATATATGTAAGAATTCTTTATCCCATTCCCTTTTAAGAGATATAATATCTCTTACTATTCCTTATCTTTTTTTCTTAATTCCTTTTAATTTCTATTTATCCATGTTTTTTATTTTATTTAAATATCAAATACAATTTATATAATAATTGATAAAAAATTGATTACAGTTCCTATAAAGAGAATTGCAGAAAAAGATAGATTTGTTTCTACTCCAACTAGTACTACAATATCAGATTCGAGGTATTTTTTTAATAATAATTTAAATAACAATAAAATAATATTTAAAGAAAATATTGAAGAAAAAAATAATATTAATAATATAGAGAATCACAATCATGTACACCGGGAAGTGCAAGAAAAGTAATAATGGGTCTAGAACGTGGATTGAATCGTGTCCGTTACGTCCTTACGCCAAAGAGACGTGTGAAGAATGAAAATATCGATCCTGATCAACCTAACGTACTTTCCGGGAAGGTATATATATATATTTATTTATTTATATATGATTGATAACTTTGAATTCGAATTTATCATAATGAAATTTTTTTAAGGGTCTTTGTAATGTATCATCAACGTCCAGTGATGATCCAAAATATGTTCTTTCACAATTACGTCGTGCACTTCGTCGTAAAGGAATTATGTGTCATCAAAAAGGGTAATGTCAAACATTTTTAATAATGTTAGTAACATTTTTTATATTTACTATAAAAATATTTCCAGGTTTATTTTACAAGGAGAGACGGAAGATTGTACAGAGGATGATAAAGATGTAATGCGACCATTTTCATCTAGGAATGCTTGTTCTTTTGAATTAGAAGTTTGTTTATTAGAGGGTATTTCAAATGATAAATTAGTTGGTATTCGAAGAAAAAGATTAAAGGGTAATGCATGGGTTTATAAACGAGTATGCGAAGAAGTTCTCGCTCTGGCAGCTGAAGATTTTTCCGCGGAATCAGAAGGTTCAACGGAATCGAAATGTCCTATTTGAAGTTTTTTTGACATTCTTATTGATATAAATATATATTTAAATTTATACATTACAAAAAGTCAATAAGACTATTTGATTATATTCTGATCTCCAGTAGTTATATTAAATAGATATTAAATAGATCATAAAGACAAATATAAAATATATTAATTCTTGTATGTATCAGCAAATTATGTTTATGGCAGCTTTGATACATGCATATTAGTTTTGAAAATGTGCATTTCAAAGACATAGTTTCTTCTGAGAAGAAATAATCATAAAAGAAATGTTACAGAAATATGAAACTTTATTAAATATTTCCCCGAATTTCGAACAATAATAAAAACAAACAATAGTAAAGTTACAATTTCAACAATTTATAATCACTAATTGTGTAATAATTTTTATATATTAAATGCTTAAAAATCAATAAAATTTCATAATATATATAATAAATAAAATATAGATAAAGCAATAAAAT